TTTATACTCAAAATTTAAAACCTTTGTCATTACTTTTCTAAATAATTGTGTATTCATTTTCTTAAACGGGAAAACGTATTGAAAACTCGTTTTAAGTTGTATTATTTATTTAAAATAAGAAGATTACCTGTTATGATTTGTTGTTTTGTATGCTTGTTCACCCAACTTAGTCATACACCTATGTCCTAAATAAGAAAATATTCGAAAACAAAAACGACATATTTTATCATCGACCTAGTATATTATTTGAAGTCTCCAACGTTAAAACGGTTTTGATTATTATTATATTTTGGGTCCATGCAATTTTTGCTTGAGCAATTAAAATTGTAGGGCAATTATCAGTATTCCGAATTTAGTTTTATAAATGTATAGAAAAAAATTATATTTTAATACTTACACAATTCATTCCATCTCTTATGGAATATTTATAAATGAATATAAATTGTTGGATAACAATGTGGATTATACAAATATTGTGATATAACATACATGCTGAATTAGGCATTTTATACAAATTAGGAAATATCAATTGCTCAACGACTACCTTGAAGGTATAGAATGCATGAATGCATGTTATATTATGGAAGTCTATTGTTGAGTAACTGTTTCATTTACATTCCAAAGACAAATTTGAGCAAATAAAATATGATTTAAACGCAATATTAAATAAAATATCATTAGTCGATTTCCACATTAACCTAGAAAAGTGGCCGATTAGTTCAAATATTTTTTCAGAATTTAAATCTAACCATCCTGAGTTGGTGTAATCATATCAGGCTTTTAGGCCTTAATCGTCCAACAAACAGGTCTCTTCAAACCCCATAAGATGGGTCAAAACCTATTCACTGGAATCAAACTTATAATTTTTACAACAGTTTTTGGCTACTATAAGTTCTGACTTAAGAGCATTTTCTTCAATATCTAATAAGTAAGCATGCTGTTCCCAATACTTGTTCAATCAACATTGTCAGTATATTATTTTCACTTCCAAATAACTATTGTATCATAACCCTTTTTTGTGACATACGAAAACCGCTAAAAAGTAAAACATTTTTTAAAAATAATTTTCAGTTTATAGAAAATACGGTACATTTTTTTATGTAGCCTTTGAGCTACTAGGGTCGAGGGTATTCTAGAGATGGGCTCTCCCTCCCTTAATTACACCTATGGATTTGTATGGGAAAAATCGCCTTTTGAATTTCACAGTAATAGTTTTCAAAACCGATTTTGAGTAGATTGAACAATTTACCAACACGACGTTAACCGCTTTAAAATGTGTATGTATACATATAAACAGCTATACTATGTATTATACCTATGCTAGGAAATGTGTCAATATTTTAGTAATCTTCAGTATAAAAACACTCATATATACATGTACATAACCGTAAAAAGGCGTTTGCATAGTGCGAACATATGCGAAAATAATTCACTGAAAAACAACTTATTTTTTTTATGCGAATTGTCGTTTTCAATTTTACACAGTATTTTTTGTGCCTGCAAATTATTTTTCTGTTCTAATACAATTTTTACTTGTAATAGATTTACAATATACAGTATACCTTGGTTACATCTACATTAAGTCTAATTTTAATTCCTAAACCTCGGTTAGGAAAAAAAAACAAATAAAGAAAAATGTTCAGCCACTTATATGGAAAAAGATCAATTAATCCCACTTTTTTCAAAACAAATATGCTTTGCTTAAAAAATAATTTAATAGCGCTTAATTATCAAAATGTAATATATAATATATACAAGTTGATCCAACTAACGTTAGACACTCATTTATTCTGAAAGAATGAATATTGTGAGAATTTTTTTCTTCTAAAAATTTAGGTACATATTTAACTACATTTTTCAATATTTAGAAAAATTTTATCTTTGACCTTTATACGTTAAAGAATTACGAACTTCGTTTTTTCAAATGGGAACATATGTTTTAAATTCCACAAATATATAGACAAAAAATCTAAAAAAATATTAGCGTTTGAATTTTGAATTTTCATCCGTTTGTTCGCTGTTTATGACTTTGTAAGAATTTGAATTTTTGTCTATATTTCTTAATAATTTCATTGGGTCCATCAAAGACAAGTAGTTTTTTTTAATTTTTTTATTAATGGTAAAGGCTTCAATTACAGGATTATTAGCCTAGAAGTTAATGTACAATAAATTTAGGAATTAGAATAACATGATATTTATAGTTTATGGCTCATATTTACACTGTGAAAAAATTTGATGATTTCAGTGGTGTTTTCTTCTTTGAATGCTTGGAGAAGTGTGAGAGGATTGTTGAAACATATCGATAAATTTGTTTCAGATATAAATACAAGTAGTTTTATTACGTCGGTCATCACATAAAATATAATAATAATTTAATGTTAGCGCATTCCGTATTATAAGCAGATATAATAAATAACCACCCATTATTAGACGAAACGTAGGCTGTTACTGATAACGGACTTTACACTTAAACCTCCTAATCTAGTCGGAGCTAGTCATTAGCTGGTTATATCGGATGGCAATGTAGTATCTAAACTGTGCACCAGTTACCACGGAATAATCGAGTGACCAGTAACCATAATATATTTTATTATTTGTACAAAATCGCATAATATTTATTATTTGTACATAACCTCTTTCGCTAACAAATGTTTACTTCACAGTTCACACAATTTCCATTAGTGAAATGAGAAATTACAAACTTAATTTAAAAAATGTTAGTAAATTTACATTTTACTTTATAGTAAATATCATAGCATGCTTATTGTAGTTATGTCATAACTCGTTATTTTATAATTTTTGAAATATATGCATAAATATATCAATTGATAATATTTGCTCTCGAATTTAATAGGTAAGTTTATTAGAGTTTAATAGGTAATTGAATACAATACGAATTCAATTAGCTTTTTTAATTTAGGTTGAATGCTTTTTTACTGATAATATTTCATCTTTTAAAACCCAATGTTATCATGTAAAATTGGTGTTGAGTATGACATATCAATTGCTATGGTAATGTATTTCCAATTGGACCCTTGACCTTACAATTATGTACCAAGGTGTAAACTATAAGTATAAAACATTTATTTCTAATGTGACATTTTTTCATGTGAATGTATAATATCAATACTAAGCAATTTGAACGAAAAGTGTGTTGTGTTGTGATTGACTTAAAATAATTATTTATGCATGTATTTGTGTAGGTATGTGGGTTGATAACACTCACATACCCGTTTCATTTATTTTTAAAAATATCAGTAATTAATGTATGCATTTCATATTACTACATACAAGGAAACACTTCTTGATAATACCATTATTGTTTTTTATTTTATTTTAAGCCTATGCTTGTATATTATTTTTATTTGATTAAACTTATCAAAGGTAGTTCAAATGTCTGCTTTCAGCTTAGTTATTTCTTACAACGAGCTAACCCATATATTGCGTGTTTAACATACATTACGGATATTTGATCATAAAGTTTTAGCTATAATTGACACGGGTATTTGGCTATCAAAGTTAAATTTTATATCAAATTTATTAATATACAATAATTCTCTCTTTGAAAAGTTGTAATTTTATTAATTGGTATTTAATGAATTCAGTAAATCAAGTAAATTGTTACTTTTAAGTTGAACAATTTCAATTTCAAATGTATAGTTATTGTTTTTGTTTCATATTTTTGATTGAATATTTTCAAAATAGTAACATTTGTAATTTTTAAATTTGTTGTTATATTAATAATAAGTTTATGAATAGTTTATTTGTTAAACACTTATATTATCAGACAAAAGATTACTATTGTTCTTTAAATGTTACACTATACTATCTATTCGTAGTTGAAATTTATCAATACAATTTATTGTTTTACTATGTGTTATCAATGTTTAAATTTTGTAAAGTACACTCAACAAAAATTAATGAAAATTGTTATTAAATCTTTAAAGTAGGAAAAATGTCGCATACGTATTGTAGCAAATAATCTTTTAACCATTATTTGTATCATTAAATGTAAACAAACTTTATTTTTAATAACTATGCATTATAAGACATAAGTCAGTATAATTGATTTTATAATTATTTGTATTTATACATAAATGTAGTATACATACATGTATGTGTATAAAATCAGACAAACTTGTCGCGTACAGACTATAATTTAACAATTCTACATAATCTTAGTAAAATGTACCCGTTATAATAGTTTAATAATGTCTAAACTTTAATTTGTATGGTAAACAAGGAAAACATCAAATAATGGTTTTCTTTTCAAACAACTAAAATCTGTTAAGCTTTTAAATTTCTGGATATTAAATAGTGAAGGAAATAATTAAAATAAGAAAATACTGATTATAAAATCAAAATAAGCGAATTCAACTGTAAAAGAACTTACTTTTCAAATTGAAATTATTGAAACAGACATATTTTATTATAAAGGCTTTAGAATCACTATTATTATAACATTATATACATCTTATAAGTTATAATAATAGTTAGTAAGTACTAATAAAAGGATTAGAAGTATATAAACTATTTAATTTAATTTGTAATTAATAAAATAAAAAAGACAAGTTCTGATAATTTAATGTTTGCGTGACACAAACCCTAACTTTATTCCTGAAAACGAATCGCAGGTGAGTTTGAGTATCATTGTAAGATGTAGTGTAATTGAGTCATAAACATCTAAGTTCAACGGTGACCTTATTTTGATATTTGTACAAATTAAATAAGGGACATTATAATACAAACAAAACATATTATAATACGACCATACCTACTCATCGCATTTTCGTAAAAAAAACCGTCGGATTTGGTAAAACACATTTTGTTTTTGTTTGTCTTTAAGCATATCTTTTTGGATTCTGTTTTTACATCAGTATCTACAAAATATGTTTAAAGGCAAACAAAAACAAAACGTGGTTTACCAAATCCAAACCGTTTTGCTGCTAAAATTTCCTACGTTGTTTCCTTCGTAAATGCACTTTGAAATTGGCGTTAAAACCAAAGCAGTCTTTAAATACTACATTTAATTGAAATATACTTGAAAACTTTTGAATAATTTTTAAAATGGCTATTTTGCATACGAAACAAGTTTTTGCGTTATGCTTAATAATTTGTTTTTTTAAACAATCATTTTCTACACCACTCACAGAGGAGCAAAAGGTAATCAATATTTAAGTGTTTTTTTTAATGTATTATAACATATATTAAAAAGTGTAAACATACTTACATACATAAAACATTTCTATAATTAGAAGAAAAAAAAAATAATACTTTAAAATGGATTTAAATCAAGAGTAAATTTTATGTTTCATTTTTTTTTTGTTTTAAAGATGGCGTTACACCAGAATATAGAACTGAAGAAAGAGGTAATTAATACTTAATATGTTATCTTAAGGGCATTCAATATCGACCATTTTTAAGGAGTTTTGTATAGGTAATATTTTAAAAAAATATGGTTAAAATAAATTTTGACCATGTCAATTAATTAACTGGTCACTTTGTATAAGCGCCATGGTATTATTTTTAATTTAAATCATTTTGTCTATGAGTAAAAGCCATTTTGTTAATAGTACATTTTTTGTCCATCGCACAGGCTGAACTAGTATTCCAATTAGTAATCAGAAAACAGATTTGAATTCGTTATTAAGTTTACTTAGGATCCTACAAGGTACTTTTTTGATATCTTTTTCTTACTATGAATAAGAAACGTTTGAATATTTTATAAAATTTTAAAATTAAAATCAAATTTGTAAAGGGTTACAATTCAAAATTGAAAAAATTGCTTTGTAGCACCTTAAGTAAACTTCTGGAGGAGTTCAAATCTGTTTTCAAATAACTTATCAGTTTACTGGTTCGGCCTGTGCGATTGACAAAATAATCCTGTGTTTTGACTGAAAAACCGGCTGGTATCGAATGCCCTTAAAAGCTACACTATTTTGGGTTATAAAACTCAAAATGTCGTACAAGGACTATAATATATAAGTACCATGTAACAATATTACAAAACTATGTACTAGTAATTATGATTATAACAACAAAAGTTCTAATATCGAAATAGTGGTATCTCACATTGTGGCCAAGTCTGTTTTATGCCATTCAGAAACTCATTCAGAAAAGTAATATGGCCAAATGTTATGCAATACAAATAATAGAGCAGTGTTGCTCATGAAAGTAGGAGTGAAGTGAGGTTATAAACTAAAGAAATAGCAGAATCGACCATAATGCAGATATCATTAATTTGATAGGCTAACATTTTTGTGAGGGATCTGGAACTTGGCTCTTCACTGTTAGGGTTTTGTTGGAGATATCATTCCTTTTTGCTGGCTTCAGCGTCGTGGAAATATTTTACGAGTCATTGGTGATAGCATTTTGAACATTTGGATCAGAGAGCCACGTTTTTGATTCATGTGGCCACCAAAGCAGAACTTGCTTTTTTTTTACTTAGAACTCAGACTTTCCCCCTTAGTTACACTATATATAATACCTGCCTTTGTGCCAAATTTGACGTCTCTACCTATACGGAAAGTGTTTTATAGATTTGATGATGAGTGATTGAGTCGGTGAATCAGTAACAAAAAGGAAAACTTTTGAAATTCTCCTGTTTTAAAAACGATTACTTTTAGACGCTCAAATTTGTACGATATACTAAGCTATTCGAGTTTTATCTATGTTTTAAATTACAAAAGCTTATCTTAGGAGAAAGCAGAGACATGTGGGTTAGAAAAACTGGGTGAATTGGTTCGTGTAAAGGTCCGCTGACATTGCTAGAACTTGGCCTGGCGCACTGCTGTGCTCTCAGATATACCCTAATTTAGTTGAAAAATTTTGAAAATTTTAAAATGATTATTATGCATGCAAAACAAGTTTTTGTGTTATGCTTAATAGTTTGCTTTTTAATATCCAATATTTTCTACACTCAGATGAACAGAAGGTAATCGATAATTAAATAATTGATTAAAATGTATTATTAAACCGCGTGTTATAAAGTGTAACTGTTATAACTCACCTACTACAGTTTAGTTGAAAACATTTTTAATTATAAAAAAATGAGCATGTTAAAAATTAAAATAAATTTTAAACCAGAATTAATTTTATGTGTAATATTTTGTTTTTAAGGTGTTAACGGAATTAACCAAGGAAGAGGTAATTCATATTTAATATTTTATCGTAAACAGTTCTAAAATTAGCGCTATTTCAGGTTTAGGAACTAAAAATGTTGTTTAAGAACTATTTTTTAAATTCCGTTAATTATTATCATAAAGGTCTTCAAGTACACAGATTATGTGTACTTGAGTGTGCAATGTGTGCATTAGAAAAAATAGAGCAGTGGATGGTGATAACTGATATGTGTGTAAAATACAATTTTAAAAAAATTCAATGACTTTGTTTAAAAAAAAATATATATGATTTTGACAACAAAATATATTTTATTTTTTTATTTTACATCAGAAATATACAATCTGTACAATGAGCACAATAAGCATATTTGATAAAAGTAGAGATAAATTACATGAATACATTTTGATGGAAGAAACCACTAATTAGTGACACTTCCAATGATTTTTTGTTTAATTTTAAACTTGATATTATTAGATTGAATATCACGTCACACTTACGTGTTAAACGTCTGGGTGGGTCTCCAGGTATGGACAAGGTTGAGAGGTTTTTTATAAGGGGATTATAGTAAGGGAGTAATTTAATGTGGAATCTTTTATAGTAGGAGATAGCTTCTTCATGGACTGTTTTTAATTTAAGGTCGTTATGGAGTGTATAATTAGAGATATAAGGAGGTGCATTGATTAATTTTCTTTAGACAATGTTTTGAAAGCATTGAATTTTATTGGTATCGGATTTTTTAGCATTACCCCGTAGCTGAAGGCCGTAAGTCCATATGGGTCTTAAAAGGGTTTTATAAATTAGAAGTTTAGTATTAATATCTGTAAATTTATTGTTTACGATTAATGATTTGAGTACCGCAGACGGCTATTGCTGAGCCCATGTTAGTCGTTTATCTAGTGTGAGATCGAGATACTTGACAGAGGAAGAAGAGGGGATTTGTAATCCGTATAGGGAGACACCAGGACAAGGGAGAAGTCTTAGAGTAAAGGTAGTATGAACTGATTTTGATTGATTAATTTTAAAACGTCATTTTGTGTACCAGTCTTCCGTTAAATGAAGATGATTTTGCAAATTGACGGATGCAATCTGTGGGTCAGAGTTACAGGACAAAATGGCTTTGTCATCAGCATAATCTGCAACCATTGTGTTAGGAGTTGTGTGTTGGTCTGAGGTATAGATATTGAACAGGACTGGAGATAGAATACCTCCTTGTGGAACTCCCGCATTTATAGAGGCTATATCAGATACTGAAGAACCATGACGGCTTTGGAAAAAACGATAACAACAAAATATGAAATCACAATAAATTGTAAAATTATGAAGCAATGTTCTAACTAAAAGTTTGTTTCTATAAACAAACACTTTCTACACTAACAGAGATGCAGGAGTTAATGGATATATAAGTTTTTTTTTTAAATGTATTATTTAATCGTACATGAATATGTGTAACCATAACTACATGACTACTTGTTGAAAATTAATATGGATTTAAAACTAGTGTTAATGTTATTTCTAATACTTTGTTTTTAAGGCAGAAGACAGAGAGAAACTGAAAAAAGTAATGCATATTTAGAATTTTATCTTAAACAATTGTGAAAGTAGCGCAATTTACATAATACTACATTTTATTTGAAAACATATTTAATATTTATAAAGAAATATTTTTGTTAAAAATTAGAATAGATTTAAAACGAGTGTTAATTTTACATTAAATGCTTTGTTTTTAAGGTCGATGATGGTTTGTACACGGAAGCGGTAATCTATATTTATTATTTTATCTTAAACATATAAAAAAGTAGCGAAACTCATATAAGAATGTACTGTTTAAACCAAGGGATGGCAAACGATGCACATTTTTGGCTTTTGATTATAGTTCTTGAAACAGATTTAAAATATTTTTAGTTTTTTAAGCAACTTTTAAGACCTTTAATTTAATTAAAGCATATGACAATAATGGTTATTCAAACCGGATTCTTTTAATTTAAGTTTTTAGCTAGAATTATTAATTAGCTGTGTATAAGTCTTTAAACTTAATACTCTACTAATATTAGTATTAAAATATGTCATAAGAAAAATTATTTTATGTATCATTTTAGGTAAAAAAAAATCGTGCAAGAGTAGAGCGATTCACCGATCGCCTGAGTCGTAAAGAACCAAAAAATAAAGACAATGGTGAGTAATAAGTGTATACACAAATTAATAGAAACTATTTTTTATACCACATTAATATTGATATGTGGTACCTAATAAAATAAAAAAATATCGAACATAAAAAGCGGGTTTGTTCACAACGAATGGTAAACAATTTTGCTGTATCCATTAAAATAGTTTCAGCAGATGAATTTGAGAAGATAATTGCCGAAGATGATGCTTACATGGCTGAGGTAATTTATATTTATTATTTTATCCTTAACACATAGCGGAATTCACATAATAGTGTATTTTTTACACATACATCGATACAATATAATAAATTAATATAATCAATATACATTTTTGGCTTTTGGTTATGGTTCTTGAAAAAGATTTTGAAATGTTTTTTCTTAATTTACCAATTTCAAAGACTTTTTTTATTAAATTAGGGTCAACAGTTATGTTTATATAAGCCAGATTCCTTTGCCAAAAAATTCAAACACTAACTTTTCACTAAAACTATAACCTAACTAATAAGGTTAATAAACTAATACAATTTAAATAATAAAAAAATGTGTATTAATAATTTTTTTTATAAAATAACATACTAAGAAGTTTATTATTTTAAACAGTATTTACACATCATTATAAATTTAAAATGTAATTAATATAAGTCATTATGTGTTTTAAACCTTTTGGACTAAACTTGTATTGGGGTGGGAAAAACAATTCAAAATAGATTTTTTTTAAATAATAAGCAAAAAAACTGACAACACTGACTATAGATTAATAACTATATACACTATTATTTATTGTATAAGTTGTTAATTAGTAATTTTATCTAATCCAATATTGTATAATTCTTGAAACTTAAAACCATACTAATATAGGTATAAAACATAGAAAAAAGTTTTTATTTAAATACTTTTAAAATGTTTAAATATTTTTAAATATATTAAAATATTTTTAAATCATTTTAGAATATGGAAATTGTCGGTAGGCGGATGCGAATCCGTTTACGCCAATCAGGTATGTAATCATTGACTGATTTCCATAGTAAGCTATATATTTTAAAACGAAATTTCGAAAAAACTATTGTTATACCTTCTTTATATTGATTTGTGGTGCCCAATACAATTAAATATTATGTCAAAATGAAAAATCGCACTTGTACGAAACGACTGGAACATGATTTTGTTGTATTCATTAAAACTGATGAACTGTACTTCGTATGTAACTAATTCAAACATTTTACAGGTTATCCGATATTCGGAGATAACGAGGAGTTAATTGCTGAGGATATGAAAAACGAGAATGAGGTAATATTCATACTAGTATTTTATCCTAATTAGATGGAAAAGTCTTGAAATAGATTTTGAAATATTTTCTGTTTTATTCACAAATTTAAGGGACCTTTTATCAAATAAGGACTGACAGTAATAGTTCTATAAGACGGTTTCCTATAAAAAATAAAAAAAATGTCCACTTACATTTTACGAAACCTAAGCTTACATATGAACTAACTAATATTTGGAAGCTCAAATAATTGTAAAAAAAAAGCCAGTACAGTTGGGGCATAGTGGGGAAGGGTCTACAGAATTTATTATAACTGAAAGTGATAAAATCACTTTTAAATAAACCCTTCGATGCAAATCTGTGGATAGTATGTTCAAACCAGCTAGAGTGGTTTAAAAGATATCGTGGGAACAGCAATAATGTACTAAAAATTTAATATTTATTCTTGTGTAGGGTGGATACGATAAGGGTTCATCGTCTGTCTACAATAATGTACTGTCATGGTTACCAAAATAACGTAATTGACAATACAATGCAAATATTTCCATTACCTGTTGACTGTCGATTGACTCACACATAGCATCCTATAAATTGACTACGGCCAAAGTGTAAATTTACCCTATTTTTTGGGGTTTTCCTTAAAAAAAAAAAAAAATTTGGACACAGATTTTGTAAAAATGGTATATGTCCTAGTTCCATTTTAGATCTAATATCGTACTAATTTTCAGATCTAAATCTCTAAAACTTTGCTTGAAAAAGCGAAAACAAGAAAAAAATGCTATCGCTTCTAGGGGAAAGGGTCCGTGATATTTTTTTGTTTTGCTAATGTTTATCGATAGATCCATGTTAGAAGAACAATTCTTATAAATTTGGAACTTTTTCGACTATTTTTAAAAAAGTTATAATTCATCGCTATTTTAAGTTGAAATATGTGTAATTTTTTTGGGTGTTTTCCTCGATTTCAAAGGGGTAGGGGTAGTTTTTTTAAATTTTCGGTCCATTAAAATACCATTTAGGTATGATTTCTGATTTATAGAGTTGTTACACGAAGAAATCGGTTTAGCGGTTTATGAGATATCTTGGGTCTAGTCACATAAAAAAAAATAAACTAAATAAATAAAATAACATCATTGTACAAACAATACCTTCTCCGCTCCGCACCTAAGTTAAAATATATAAACATCTACACTTATAATATAATATAATACATACTATATAATTTATACAACTTATTATTTATTTAAACAAATGTTATAAAATGATTTTAGTATATTGCCGCAAGGAATGAAAAACTCCGTGAGTTAAAGAAAAAATCAAAAAGGAAGTCCTGCCTGTTTTCTTCGCTTTGTCCAAAGAAGAATGAGTGACCGGACACAAGCATCTAGAGACTCATTTTTATTTAAATTAATATATAAATATATAGTTACATAATTTTTGTATGTGTTTTAATACATCTGAGATATGTGATACTGGTTTAACTGACTGTATAAGAAACTTCCTAATTTAAATTAAAAATTATAAAATGTGTGTAACTTTTCAATTACTGATATTATTAGTTATTATACTAAGGTTATTTAAGCAATGACCAAAATGTATAAGAATAAAAAAATCGGTATATCTTTTTCTTTTAAACACTATTTTGGATTGTGTCATATATTTAATTTGCATAATATTGTTGTTATTATTGCTTAAAATCATTTATTTTTTGATCCTTTGTACTTATTTGTGTAATCTTAAAATTAATTGAAAAAGTATGGTTATTAAATAATGAATAAAATTTAATAAAATTTAAAAAAATAGAAACTCGTTTCTTTTAAGCAATATTTTGGATTGTGTTATATTATATTTCATTTGCTTAATAATATTGTTATTAAATAATTATTTAAGTATTATTTCTCGAACCTTTAAACATTTAACTTTTATGCTACAAGGGTTCTGAATATTTGCATAATGTATGTTTTTCTATTATTATCTGTTTAGTTATGTTGTAGTCACTTTAAAAATATTTTTATTTAAAGACTATTGTCTATAATTTCATAGATTTTATTCTTATATAGTGACAGACGATTCAGTGTAATTTTATTGTAATAATATTATTGTAATTAATCATAAACTTGGAAAAAATAATAAAATCTACACGAAAATTCCTAGCCACGTTATGTTTTACAAGTTAGACCAGTAAAATTCATTTTTGACGTTTTGTTTTATAATGAAGAGTTTTATTTGTTACGGTGTGTATATTTTTTGATTAATTATAATATTATGTAGTTGGTTACATGGTTGGAAATATATTTTTGGTGTTAAGCAAAAACATGTGTACTTTTTTTAATATCCTATCAAGGTACATTCGTATAGTTATATGAAAAGTTTTCTAATGTAAAAACTAGGATATTATAAACTTAAGAATTGTCCATAGTTTGTCGCTTTAAATTTATTACAATGCATTTTACTATTATTCAAATGTGTGATAATAATAATATATACAAATACTTAAATACGTTATGCTTAATTTATACCAGAATGTTATTTTCAGAAATTGGACTTGATTGTTTGTAATTATAACTAGCATAGTTTATGTTATTTATTTACTATGCAGCTAAGAAATTATCATTATTATTTGATATTTTATACAATCAAATTATATTCAATATTAAGTAAAAGGTTTAAAACGTTTAAAATACAATCAGGGTAGTTGTCAGTTGTTAGCATTCCAACAGTCGTTGTGGAAAAACACTATATTTTATGTAAATAAATAGTATAGTTGACATAGGAAAAACAAAATTGAAAACACATGTTGATCATATTATATAAGTAATGATCGAACAATAATGAGTCCTGGATTCTTTTTGGGGTGGTATACGATTTCTATGTCATAACAATAATATTATGAATCTATAATGTGAAATAGTTTTGTACAATTTGTCCTTATTGTTACCTATTAACGTTATTAGATATAAATATATATATATAATACTGGACCAATTACAAACATGGTGTACCAGATGTGAGAAACGAACAGATGCTAATAACTGTCGGTTGGTAACATCGACCCGTGTTAGGTTAGGATAGGACACAACTGTCGGTATCATAATATTGTATTTACTAGTAGGGAGGTTGTAAAAGAGTTGGTTCGGATGACCATTGGGCTTAGAGTGGAACCTTTGCATAGTAGATTGTGGCAGTTTAGTGAACTGTTCTGGCGTTTAAGTCTGAACAATTACTTCGATTAATGCAAACGCGAGTATTTATAAAAATAAAAATAATAATAATCCAACTATTAACTATCCAACTATTATTAAAAGACTACGGCTCTTTCTTTTTTGTTTTATTTACACTAAGACGATATACATATATATATATACAGTTTTAACATTTTATAACATGATAGAAGTAATACGAGAAAAATAAGATAATCATAAATAATACAAGATAGTTAATAGTAGTTGTAAATAGTATTAATAATAGATTCGTATTTAGACATATAAGTTAATTTCGCTTTCCGGCCTTTTTTCAAAGAATAAGAACTGACCGGACACAAACATCCACAGACTCATTTTTTATTTAAATAAATATATAGCTACCTACATAACTTTTGTATGTGATTTAATACATCTGAGACATGATGCTATTTCACCATCGCTTCTTTACACACCATTAAAAATAATTCATTATAATCCTAGACATAATACTGGTTTAAGACTGTTTAAGAAACTTCCTAATTAAAATTAAAACATGTGAAAATTGTGTAATCTTAAAATTACTTGAAAAAATATGGTTATTAAACAATGAATAAAATGTATTAAAATTTAAAAAAAAGATACTCGTTTCTTTTAGGCAATATTTTGGATTGTGTTATATTATTTTTCGTTTGTTTAATATTATTGTTAATAAATAATTATATTCATATTATTATAATTATATTATTTCTTGATCCTTTACTTATAACTATAATGTTTACAAGGGTTCTGTGAATAGTTACTTAATGTATGTTTTAATAAACAAACCGGCGCTAAGTTCAGTTATCAAATAAAAGATAAACCTTAACGCTTCACACTTTTTTCACAATAATACTATTTATTTTTTATTAATTGATTTCTATATTAAAAATTATTTTCCACTTTTTAGTTCAATGTGCTTTTAGCTTCGATGCAAAGCGAGAAGGTATTGGTTTTACTCTGATGTGTGTTTTTTTTTTATCTGTAAACACTGTAACTTTTTTAATACTGGACCAATTCCTTCGAGTAGCAACTCTATGAATCGCAAATTTCATCTAGTTGGTACTTTGGGGGGGGGGGGGGGTAAAAGTTGAAAAAGTTCAATTCTTCACAGACGAAAGTTGAAAAAACAAAAAAAAAACACTTATAATGTCAATACTCAAAATAATGTAATGCCTATAGGTTATTATTTGCATTGCACATTGTGTGATGTTCACGACGAAGCCTTTATTGTAAAAAACAATTTTTTTCGATAAATATAATATATTATAACGATACCCACTGTGGAAAAAAAACCGCATTAAAAGTATGAAACGGTTGAAGAGAAATTTTATACACGGCATACACGTTTTAGAACAACATCTAAGTTCAACGGTGACCTTATTTTGATATTTGTACTTACTTACTCAACGCGTTTTCGTAAAAACACCGTTGGATTTGGAAAAAACAATATTTTTTGTATTTGTCTTTATAGCATACCTTTTTAGATTCTTTATGTATCCAGTATCTAAAAAATATGCCTAAAGACAAACAAATACAAAACGTCTTTTACCAAACCTAACCGTTTTGCCACTAAAATTCCCTACGTTGTTTCATTTTCTCTTTTCACTTTGCACTTTAAAGTTGGCGTTAAATCAAAATCGGTCTTTAAACACTACATTTAATTGAAATATATTTTAAAACTTTTGAATAATTTTTAAAATGACTGTTTTGCATACGAAACAAGTTTTTGCGTTATGCTTAATAATTTGTTTTTTAAAACAATCATTTTCTACACCACTCACAGAGGAGCAAAAGGTAATCAATATTTAAGTTTATTTTAATGTATTATTTGCACATATATTAATAAGTTTAAACATACTTACATACATAAAACATTTCTATAATTAGAAGAAAAAAAAAATAATACGTTAAAATTTAAAATGGATTTAAATCAAGAGTTAAATTTATGTTCATTTTTTTTGTTTTAAAGAATACGGCAATACGGCGTGATATTCTGAGGGAAGAGGTAATTAATATTTAATATTTTTTCTTAAGGGCATTCGATACCGACCATTGTTAAAGAGTTTTGTATAGGCAATATCTAAGAAAAAAGTGGTTTAAATAAATTTCGACCATGTCAATTAACTTACAAGTTACTTTGTATAAGCTCCATGGTATTATTTTTAATTTAAATCATTTTGTCTATGAGTATAAGCCATTTTAGTTAATATAATAGTACACTTTTTGTCCATCGCACAGGCTAAACTAGTATTCCAATTAGTAATCTCAAAACAAATTTGAATTCGTTATGAAGTTTACTTGGGACCCTACAAAGTACTTTTTTGATATATTTTTCTTACTATGAATAAAAAACGTTTGAACACTTTGTAAAATTTCAAATCAAATTTGTAAAGAGTTAAAATTCAAAATTGAAAAAAGTGCGTTGTAGGATCTTAAGTAAACTTCATGATGAGTTTAAATCGGTTTTCAAATAACTTATCAGATTACTGGTTCGGCCTGTGCGATTGACAAAATATGTTGTGTTTTGACTGAAAAAACGGTCGGTTTCAAATCCCTTAAAACGCTACACTATTTTGGGTTTAAAAACTAAAAATATCGTACAAGGACTAATATATTAATACCAAATAATAGTATTATAAAATTATTTTTCTTCTTTGAGTGCCGTATTCGTTATCGAACGTTGGCAATCATGTTAGCTATTTGGTCTCTATTAACGGCTGTTCTGAATAGAGAGCTCGTAGATATATTGAACCACTCTCGGAGGTTGTCCATCCAAGAAATTTGAGGTCTTCCACGGCTCCTTCTTCCAACTATTTTGCCTTGTAGTATTAGTTGTAGTAAATTATACTTTTCTGGATGCCGCATAAAATGTCCTAGGTATTGAAGTTTACGCGTTTTTATTGTTGTCACTAATTCCAGATTCTTGTTCATTCGTTCCAATACTGTGACATTCGTTATGTGATCGCACCAACTAATTTTTAATATTCTTCGGTATATCCACATTTCGAACGCTTGGATTCGGTTGATCGAAACTTTGGATAAAGTCCAAGTCTCTACTCCATAAAAAAATACAGTAAATACATAGCAACGAATCATTCTTATTCGGAGATTCATGCTTAGTTGATGGCTACAGAATATATTTCTCATTTTCATAAAAGCCGCTCTTGCTTTCGCTATACGACATTTTATTTCGTGCGAATGATCCTATCAATGATTGTCCAAGATAAGTAATTTTATGTACTCTATCTAAGGGGACATTGTTAAGTCTAAGCACATTTATCGGGCTTTGTTTTTTATCGATTATCATATATTTGGTTTTTCGGGCATTTAAATGTAGACCTAAGTTTTCACTAGCTGTTATTACTCTGTCCAATACCTTTTGCAGGTCTTCGATGCTGCCAGCTATCAACACGGTGTCATCTGCATATCTCAAGTTGTTTATAATTTTCCCATTTATAACAATGCCCTCTTCTGCCTCTTCCAAGGCCTCTGACATTATTTCTTCTAAATATAGATTGAAAAGCAATGGCGAAAGGATACACCCTTGTCGAACTCGTCTTCGAATTTTAAAGTCATTTGAAAGTGTGTTATTTATTCTAATATTAGCTTGTTGATGCCAATACAAATTTGTTATGAATTGTAGGTCTTTTCCATCTATACCAATTTTTCGTAAAACCTCTAATAGTCTCTCATGTCTCACCTTGTCAAATGCTTTCTCGAAATCGATGAAACCCAAATAAACCTTTTGCTTGATGTCTCGGCATCGTTGAACCAGTATTTGGTTGCTAAATAAAGCCTCCCTAGTTCCAAGCCCATTGCGGAAACCAAATTGTTCTTGACTTATATATTATTCCGCTTTTTTGTAAATTCTGGCGTGAATAATTTTTAAAAATATTTTTAGTGTGTGGCTCATAAGACTAATTGTTCTATAATCATTACATTTCTTTGCATTTGCCTTTTTGGGTATTGCGACAAATGTGGAATGTAGCCAATCATTTGGTATGTAGCCTCTATCGTAGATAGCATTGAACAACTCTGTTAAGCGTGTAATGCAGTTGGAATTGGTCAAGGTCTTCAGTAATTCTGTTGGTAATTCATCTGAGCCCTCAGCTTTCCTGTTTTTTTAATTGCTTATAGCTTTCTGCACTTCAGCCACCATTATTGACGGTCCGCTATCATTAAACGTTATTCCGTGATTTTCTGGCCGTACATCGTGGAAAAGTTCTTTTTCCAAGTATTGTTGCCACCTCTCGAATTTATCTTCCAAGGTTGTTATGAAATTCCCATCCACATCTGTTAAGATGTTTTCTGGTGTTTTTGATACTACTCTGGCTGCTTCTTTAATTTTTTTATGTACATTGAAACTATCGCCTATTCTCATATAGTTTTCGATTTCTTTGCATTTATTTGCGAAATACTCTTCTTTTGCTAGCCGTATTTCTCTTTTTATTTGTCTATGGATTTGTTTATACTGTTGATCATTTACATTTTTATGTTTTCTTCTTTCATTCATTAAGTTCAGAATCTTGTCAGTAATCCATGGCTTTTTCTTGGTTCTTATATTTTGTCCTAATTTACTTTTGGCTACTTCTGTAATGGACTTTTTAAATGATTGCCATGATTTTTCAATATTGACTTCCAATTTTCCGTTTACTGTTTTAACTTGTGACCATTCTATTTTATTTTCAATATCTGTTATTAGTTCTTCTTGTATTTTCCCATCTGTCAAGGTGTCTAAGTTAAGTTTAATTTTTCTAGTAGGTTGTTTTATCTTTTTGAGTCTTATCTTGAGTTTTGCTAATAATAGATTGTGATCTGAAGGGACATCTGCTCCTGGATATGTTTTGACCGTTTGGATTGCATTTTTATATCTGTTGTTAATTAAAATGTAATCTATTTGATTCCGTACCACATGCATTTTTGTGTCAGCAGGAGATTTCCAAGTGTATAATCGTCTTTTGGGGAGTTTAAAACAAGTATTCATTACTGTCAGTTTCTTTTCTATACAAAACTGGATCAGTCTTTCTCCACGGTAATTTCTTACTCCTAACCCAAACTCTCCGACTACACCTGGAATTTTACCTTCACCAATTTTGGCATTTAAGTCTCCCATGATTAGATTAGTGTCTCTATCTTTAGTATATTTAAGTGCTTTAATAAGGTCTTCGTAGAAATCTTCTATTAACTCTTCGTCACTCTCAGCAGTTGGAGCGTAAGCTGCTATGATATTTATCTTATTTGGAATTGCTTCCAGTTGTACTATTAATATTCTATCGGATATCGGTATGAATCCGCTTACTGCTCTGTTAATATCCTTATTAAGTATTATTCCGACACCGTTTCTGTGTCTGTTATCATCATCTTCCCCGCTATAATAAACTGTGTGTTTGTTTATTTGGCATTTACCCGACTTAGGCCATCTCATTTCACTTATAGTAAGAATAGAGATGTTAAGTAAAATCATCTCGGTTATTGTATTGTGAATTTTTCCGGCTTCAAACATACTTCTAACATTCCATGTACCCACTCTTGTTATATTTCTGGTGTTGTAGGGATTTCGCTGGTTGACGACCGAGGAAGCCCTACTTCTACTTCCACTGCCGAATCTGGGGTTCCGACATCCGTGATTAGTAACGTTTTTATCTATATAATTATTTGCTAACATGATTTTAACTAGGGAATTTTATGTAGTGGTTTCCCGTTGCCTTCTACATCGCGATATTACTTCTAAGAAGTAACGTGAATAATCACGCCGAACTATCAATACTTGATTTACGCCGTGATATTCTAGTGAAGTCGTCGCTGCCCAACCACACTCTCTATTTGGTCCACGGGTGTTTATTGGTTATTAACACCTATCCTATATATCTAAAGGACATTCGTGTTGGAGTTGAGATTCTCCTGCCTACTGGAATCGTCCTCCTGGGACTTTCCGCCAGTAGGAGCTCGGGTCCCGGGTTCGCTATACCCGTAGTATAAAATACTTCCCCTGAGGGGATTATAAAATTATGTATTAGTAATTATGATTATAACAACAAAAGTTCTAATATCGAAATAGCGGTATCTCACATTGTGGCCAAGTCTGTTTTATGCCTCATTGAGAAAGGTCTTGATTCATTCTGAAAACTGGCCAAGTGTTAAGCAGTACAAATAATAGAGCAGTATTGTTCATGTGAGTAGGAGTGAAGTGAGGTTATAAAATAAAAAAAATAGCTGACTCGAGCATAATGCAGATGTCATTACTTTGATAGGCTGACATTTTTGTGAGGGGATCTGTAACTTGGCTCTTCACTGTTAGGTTTTTGTTGGATATATCATTCCTTCTTGCTGGCTTCAGCGTCGTGGGCAACGTGGAAATATTTTACGCGTCATTGGTGATAGCATTTTGAACATTTGGATCAGAGAGCCACTTTTGATTCACGTGGCCACCAATGCAGAACTTGCTTTTTTTTTTTACTTACAACTCAGACTTTCCCCTTTAGTTACACTATAATACCTACCTATTATGTAACTGTAATTAAACACCTACTACAGTTAAGTTGAAAATAGTTTTAATTATGAAAAATGAACATATAAAAAATTAAAATTAATTTAAAACCAGATTTAATTTTGTGTGTAATATTTTGTTTTTTAGGTGATAAGGGAATCATTACAGGAAGTGGTAATTCATATTTATAATTTTATCGTAAACAGTTCTAAAATTAGTAAAATTATAAAGCAATGTTTTAGTTAAAAGTTTGTTTCTATAAACAAACACTTTCTACGCTAACAGAGAAACAGGAGTTAATGGATATATAAGTTTTTTTAAAAATGTATTCTATAACCGCACATGAATATGTGTAACCGTAACTACATGACTACTTGTTAAAAATTAATATGGATTTAAAACTAGTGTTAATTTTATGTCAAATACTTTGTTTTTAAGGCAGAAGACGGAAAGAAACTGAAAGAGGTAATGTATATTTAGAATTTTATCTTAAACAAATGTAAAAGTAGCGCAATTTACATTATACTATATTTCATTTCAAAACATATTTAATATTTATAAAGAAATATACTTATTTAAAATATACTTTGTTATTTTAAGGTCAATCCCGCTTTGTACGAGAAAACGGTATTCTATATTTATTATTTTATCGTAAACATAAGCAAAATTAGCGAAAGTTACATAAGAATATACTGTTTAAACCGTGGGATGGCAACCGATGCACATTTTTAGCTTTTGGTCATAGTTCTTAAAACAGATTTAAAATATTTTTAGTTTATTAACCACCTTCGAAGACTTTTCATTTAATTAAAGCATATGACAATAATGTTTATTTAAACCGGGTTCTCTTAATTTAAGTTTTTAACTAGCATTACTATCTAATTGTGTATAAGTCTTTAAACTTAATACTTTACTAATGTTAGTATTAAAATATGTCATAAGGAAATTGATTTTATATATCATTTTAGGAAGAAGAATGCAAAGCAAGAGCAAAGCGATATTACCAAAACCGATATGGTAACGAACCAAACAGTGATGATGGTAAGTAATAAGTTTAAACACAAATTACGAAAAATGGTTTTTTATTCCATAACTCGATGGTTAATAGGTCAATAAATGTAACCTTAATTTTTTCGATTTTGAGGTTAAGTTTGCCATCGATTATATAGATAGCAATATATATTTTAGCCAATAAAAACTATTTTTTATACCATATTAATATTGATATGTGGTACCTAATAAAATAAAAAAATATCGAAAATAAAAAGCGGACTTGTTCACAACAATGGTAAACAATTTTACTGTATCCATTAAAATAGTTTCAGCAGATGAATTTGAGAATATAATTGCCGAAGATGATGCTTACATGGCTGAGGTAATTTATATTTATTATTTTATCCTTAACACATGTAAAAGTCGCGAAATTCACATAATAGTGTATTTTTTACACATACATCGATACAATATAATAAATTAATATAATCAATATACATTTTTGGCTTTCGGTTATGGTTCTTGAAAAAGATTTTGAAATGTTTTTTCTTAATTTACCAATTTCAAAGACTTTTTTTATTAAATTAGGGTCGACAGTTATGTTTATATAAGCCAGATTCCTTTACCAAAAAATTCAAACACTAACTTTTCACTAAAACTATAACCTAACTAAAAAGGTTAATAAACTAATGCGTTTTAAATAATAAAATGTGTATTAATTTTTTTTTTATATAATAACATACTAAGATGTTTATTATTTTAAACAGTATTTACACTTCATTATTAATTTAAAATGTTATTAATATAAGTCATTATGTAATTTCAATCTTTTGGACTAAACTTTTATTGGGGTGGGCAAAACATTTAAAAGTAGATTTTTTTTAAAAATTTAGCGAAAAAACTGACAACGCTGACTGTACATTAATAACTTTACACACTATTATTTATTGTATAAGTTGTTTATTAGTATTTTTATCTAATCTAATTGTGTATAAATCTTACAACTTAAAACTATATTAATATAGGTATGAACTATAGAAAAAAGTTTTTATTTAAATATTTTGATATCATATTAGGAAAAAGAAATTATCGATAGGAGATTGCGAATCCGTTTACGCCAATCAGGTATGTAATCATTGACTGATTTCCATAATAAGCTATATATTTTAAAACGAAATTTTGAAAAAACTATTGTTACACCTTCTTTATATTGATTTGTGGTGGCTAATACAATTAAATATTATGTCAAAATGGAAAACCGCACTTGTACGAAACGATTGGAAAATTATTTTGTTGTAATCATTAAAAACTGTTTAACTGTATTTTGTATGTAACTAATTCAAACATTTTACAGGTATTCCAATAATCGGAGATAACGCGGAGTTAATTGCCGAGGATATTAAAAACGAGATTGAGGTAATGTTTTGTTAATGTTTATCGATAGAACCATGTTTGAAAAACAATTCATATGAATTTGGAACTTTTTCGACTATTTTTTAAAAAGTTATAGAGCTACGCAATTTTAAGATGAAAAATGTGAACATTTTTTGGGTGTTTTTTTCAATTTCAGTAAGGAGCGGGTAATTTTTTTTAATTTTCGGTCAATTAAAGTACCATTCAGGAATGATTTCTGATCTATAGAGTTGCTACAAGAAGAAATCGGTTTTGCGGTTTTTGAGATATTTTGGGTCTAGACACATAAAAAAAAAAAAAAAAATAAAATCACACCATTGTAAAAACAATACTTTCTCAGCTCCGCACCGAAGCTAAAATGTACATACATCTACACTTATAATATAATATAATACATACTATATAATTTATACAACTTATTATTTATTATATATTACATACAACTTATTATTTATTTAAACAAATATTAAAAAATGATTTTAGTATAATGCCGCAAGGAAAGAAAAACTCCGTGAGTTAAAGACAAAAACAATACTTCGTATGTTACTAATTCAAACATTTTACAGGTATTCCGATAGCCGAAGATAACGCGAAGTTAATTGCCGAGGATATTAAAACCGAGAATGAGGTAGTATTCATAATTAGTATTTTGTCCTAAAGAAATTTAAAAGTCTTGAAACCCATTTTGAATGATTTTCTGTTTTATTCACCAACTTAAGGGACCTTTTATTAAATAAAGACTGACAGTAATAGTTGTATAAGCCACTTTCCTATAAAAAAAAAATGTGCACTTACATTTAACGAAACCTAAGCTTACATATGAACTAACAAATATTTGGATGGTCGAATAATTGTAAAAAAAAAGCCAGTACAGTCGGGGCAAGTGGGGATGGGTCTACAGTTTTTATTATAACTGAAATTGATAAAATCACTTTTAAATAAACTCTTCGATGCAAATCTGTGGATAGTGTGTTCAAACCAGTTATAGCGGTTTAGAAGATACCGTGGGACCAGCAATAATGTACTTAAAATGTAATATTTATTCTTGTGCAGGGTGGATACAATAAGGGTTGATCGTCTGTCTATAATAGTTCTGTCATAGTTACCCAAATGTCGTAATTAACAATATATATAATATAATACATGCAACTTATTATTTATTTAAATAAATATTAAAAAATGATTTTAGTATATTGCTGCAAAGAATGAACAACTCCTTGCTTTAAAAACGGATAAGGAGTGACCGGACACAAGCATCCACAGACTCACTTTTTATTTAAATAAATATATAAATATAAAGCTACATAATTTTTGTATGTGATTTAATACATCTGAGACGTGATTCTATATCACCATCGCTTCATTACATTTCACTAAAAATAATTCATTATAATCCTAGATTTTATAGCTATCTGATACTGGTATAAGACTATATAAGAAACTTCCTAACTGAAATTAAAAATTATAAAATTTTGTGTAACTTTTCAATTACTAATATTATTAGTTATTATACTAAGGTTATTAAGCAATGACCAATATGTATTAGAAAAAAAAAACGGTGTATCTTTTTCTTATAAACACTATTTTGGATTGTGTCATATATTTAATTTGCATAATATTGTTGTTATTATTGCTTAAAATCATTTATTTTTTGATCCTTTGTACTTATTTGTGTAATCTTAAAATTAATTGAAAAAGTATGGTTATTAAATAATGAATAAAATTTAATAAAATTTAAAAAAATAGAAACTCGTTTCTTTTAAGCAATATTTTGGATTGTGTTATATTATATTTCATTTGCTTAATAATATTGTTATTAAATAATTATTTAAGTATTATTTCTCGAACCTTTAAACATTTAACTTTTATGCTACAAGGGTTCTGAATATTTGCATAATGTATGTTTTTCTATTATTATCTGTTTAGTTATGTTGTAGTCACTTTAAAAATATTTTTATTTAAAGACTATTGTCTATAAATTCATAGATTTTATTCTTATATAGTACGATACTTGTTTTACGTATAAGGATTGAAGATAAAAATATTCTAAATATTAAAAAATGTAGAATAATATGTACCTACAAGTTTAGGTAAAAATAATTTTCAAAATATTCATATTTTTAGATTACATGAGTGTCGTACGTTAGTTGGATCACCCTGTATATACCCTTTATAGCTACATACTTTTTGTATGTGATTTTAAACATCCAAAACATGACGTTCACTAACTAATAACGAATAGTTTGATACTATTTAGGAATTTAACTTTTTATTAGGCACATTGTTTGCTTAAAGCTTTAGTTTTTCAAAAATTGTACAAAAAACTTTTGATAACAACATGGTTTTTAATTATAGAAATTGGTAATTTAGGTATGAATACTTGTGTTGTAATAAATTAACAACAACAAAAGATATTTGAAAAGAAATGTGATTTTGTATTTAAGTTAATACGACATTTGTTATTTGTTTTTAGACAGGAAATTGTATGATATTCTGATAGCCCTTTGCTTGATGGTCTTATGCTGCTATTTAGCACATGGTCATTTATACAGCCTAATCGCCCTGCGATTCGCCGACACCTTAGCGTGTTTTGATTGTTATGTGTGTGTGTACTCTTCATCTGCATATCTGTCATTCTGTTGATAACCATTGGGTTGAACATCGGTTACAAGACAAGTCTTCAAATTGTCGTTAAGTATATTAATGTTAATATAAATATAGTTGTTTTTAAGTTATTGCGCCGAGTGGCATTAGTTCATAAGAATTCCCCCCTCCCCATGTCATCATTAGTTAATAATTTTATGTTTGTTTTGTATTTATGTTTTAATATAGTTTTTTTACTTATTTCAATTCCTCGTCCGCTTTCAATGTTATTGTAAGTATCATCCCATCGTCTATACAGTCAATTTTATTCGCTTTTATCTTATGAATCCTCTAGTACACTGCATATTGAACCACGCAAATAATCGGACCCAACCCGCATAAAAGACATCCGGGAGGCCGATTATACAATATGTTAATGTAAAGGTGTGCTTATTGGGACAATATTAACAAATCGTTTCAGGAACAATAATATTATAAGTACAACATACACGGTCAACGTGGTTTGTATCATATTTTTGGTGTTAAGTAAAAACATGTGTACTTTTCTAGTACCCTATAAAGGAACATTCGTATAGTAATATGAAGGGTCTTATAATGTAAAGACTAGGAAACTATGAACTTGAAGGGTTTTCCATAGATTATCGCTTTGAAGTTATTATGATGCATTATACCATTCAAGTATGATAAAAATAATTACAAATACTTGAATATGGAATGCTTAATTTGTACCAGAATGTCCTTTTTAGGAATAGTTGATTGTTTATAATTGTAACAAGCATAGTTACTGTTATTTATTTACTATACCTAATTATGTTATATTTTATACACTCAAATTATATCCAATATTAAGTAAAAGGTTGTAAAGGTTTAAAATACAATCAGGGTATTCGCATTGAATATTGCGTGACGTTCACAACGTAGCCGTCATTGTAAAATACAACTTTTTTCGATAAAAAAATTATATTATATGCCTACTGTGGAAAAAAACCGCATTAAAAGTAAGAAACGGTTGAATAGAAATTTTATCTGATATTTGTGCATTATAATACAAACAAAACATGTGATACGACCATACTTACTCAACGCGTTTTCAAAAAAACACCGTTGGATTTGAAAAATATGCCTAAAGACAAACAAATGCAAAATGTCTTTTACTAAACCTAACCACTTTGCCATTAAAATTTCCTACGTTATTTCATTTTCTCTTTTCACTTTGAAGTTGGCGTTAAAACAAAATCGATCTTTATACACTACATTCAATTGAAATATATTTTAAAACTTATTCAAAACTTTTGAATAATTTAAAAATGGTTTTATTGCATACGAAACCAGTTTTTGCGTTATGCTTAATAATTTGTTTTTTAAAACAAACTTTTTCTACACTCACAGAGGAGGAGCAGGTAATCAATATTTCAATTTTTTTTTTTTTAAGTAGGGTGAATGAAGATATTTTCGTTGCATAAGCAATTTCGTGATATAGTTTGTTGATCGTATCGCGTATTTCCCTATTAGAAAATTGTCTTGAAAATCACACTGATTGTTAAAACACAGTTATTTTAACAATCAGTGTGAGTCCTTCACCCTAATATTAAAACACATATTAAAAAATGTAATCATACACACATACATACAAGTTTTCATAATTAAAAAAAAAATTATATATTAAAATTTAAAATGGATTTAAATCGAGAGTTAATTTTATGTTTAATAATTTTTTTTAAGATAGCGTTAGATCGTCATAATGAGCTGAAGATAGAGGTAATTAATATTTTATATTTTATCCTAAACGCTAAACTATTTTTCATATGCAAAATTTTCGTGAGCCACACTGCTTTTTTACTTGTATTACATAACACCTTTCTGAATGTGGCATAAAACAGACTTGGCCACAATGTAGGCACCACTACTTTTTGATTGGCTGATTTTTTCTGACTTCTGAGTTTCTCCTTCCTATCACCCACGTAACTCTTAAATGAGTACATTTGATAATGATGTTTTTAGCTTTGTTCAGAAATTGGCCAAGTATTAAGCAATACAAATAAAAGAGCAGTGTTGCTCATAAAAGTAGGGAAGTGTTTTATAATTTTGATAATGAGTGAGTGAGTCAGTATAAAAAAAATAAAAATGTTTGCAATTCTCCCCTTTTAAAATGGCTAAAGATCCACTGACATTGCTAGAACTTGGTCTGGCGCACTTCTGTGCGCACAGACGTACTCTATTTTAGTTGAAATCATTTTTTTTAATCTTTTGAATAATTTATAAACGATAATTATGCATGCAAAACAAGTTTTTGTGTTATGTTTAATAGTTTGCATTTTTATAACCAATATTTTCTACACTCAAAGAGAAGCACAAAGTAATCGATAATTAAATAATTTATTAAAATGTATCTTTAAAACGTATATTATAAAGTGTAACTGTATTTACACACCTACTACATTTTAATTGAAAACATTTATAAATATAAAAAAATGAATATGTTAAAAATTTAAATATATTTAAAACCAGAATTAATTTTATGTTTAATACTTTGTTTTTAAGGTGGTAAGGGAATTGGCCAAGGAAGAGGTAATTCATATTTAGTCAATAGGGGTTACATAGTTAATATATTATAATTTAATACAAGATAAAAAAATAATTTCCTTGGAAAACGATGAATAGTTGTTTTATAAAAATGTATTGAAATTTAATGAGTACCTAATTAAGTATGTCCAATGTACAACGTTCATTACTAGAAAATAGTTTTAAAAAATTTTTTTTCATTGTTTTAATCACATGATTTAATATAAGATGATAATTTCTATTTTTAGGGTTTGATTTTTTTAGTTTAAAATTAATCAAATATATACGTTACTATTTAAAACTAAAAAAAACAAAAAACTTGAACCCATCTAGGGGGGTGGGAAATAGGTTTAACTTAAATTTGATACAACTGACGTTTGCGGGCATACCAAATAAATAGTTCTTATACATTTCAACTCGATCCGACTCTTTTGCTCGAAATTATAGCCAGTTAAAGTTCTAACTTAAAAACTCGTACGTTTTTTTTCCTTCAAATTTCGACTGTGAAGAAGTAAAATTTTTCAACTTTTACCCCAACTAAAGTACCAACTATAATAAATTTGTGATTTATAGAGTTGCTACTCGAAAGAATTGGTTCAGTATTAAAAAAGTTACAGTGTATACAGATAAAAAAAAACACACATCAGAGTAAAACCAATACCTTCTCGCTTTGCATCAAAGCCAAAAGTATTACCGTAACTACATTACTACTACATTATAGTTATGAACATTTTTAATAATAATAAAAATAATATAGGTATATGTTAGTTAATTAATATGAACTTAATCTAAAGTTAATTTTATGTTTAATATATTGTTTTTAAGGTAGAGGACATTAAGAAACTGCAAAAGGTAATCCATAATAGTTATATATTTATCTTAAACAGGTGTAAAAGTAGCGCATTTTCATAATACTACATTTTATTTGAAAACATATTTAATATTTATAAAGAAATATTTTTGTTAAAAATTAAAATAGATTTAAAACAAGTGCTAATTTTATGTTTAATAATTTGTTTTTTTAGGTCGATTCCGCTTTGTACAAAAAAATGGTATTGTATATTTATTATTTTATTGTAAACATGTAAAAGTAGCGACAGTTACATAAAAATATACTGTTTTAACTAAAGTGATGGCATCGATGCACATTTTTGGCTTTTGGTTATAGTTTTTGAAATAGATTTAAAATATGTTTTAACCACCTTCAAAGACTTTTCATTTAATTAAAGCATATGACAATAATAGTTATTTTAACCGGTTTCTCTTATTTTTAAGAGAAAATTTTTAAGTTTCTCTTAAAGTTTTTAACTAGTATAATTTATTTATTGTATATAAAATCTTTAAACTTAATACTCTACTGATATTAGTATTATGTCATAAGAAAAATGATTTTTTTTAACATTTTAGGAAGAGGAAGATTTTAAAAGGGCAGTTCGACACACCAGTCGCCATTTCGGTAAAAAAACAAATATTGAAGACAATGGTAAGTAATAAGCTTAAACACAAATTTTTAAAAACGGGGTTTTACACCATAATTTGATAGTTAATAGGTGAATAGATGTAACCCTTATTTTTTCGGATTTTGAGGTTATGTTTGTAATCGATTATAAAGATAGAAATACATATTTTGGCCAATTGTTGTACCCTCAGATTATTTTTTCTGATTAAAATTAAAAATTAAAAGTTTTTTTTGTTTAATTCTACCCATCATCATGTCATATCCTACATGTTTATGCATCCTACCCATCAGCTATCACAATAAATTAAAAACTTGTTATTCTATTATAGTTATAGTAGTTATTCATTAAAACTATATTGAAAGTGTTTTCGGTTTTAGTTCATTGGGTTTTAGGATTGTTTCTACCATATTGCTTCATACATCATACCACAAATGTTATTATTCTGACATGTCAAGTAGTGTAACCAACGAGTAACTTCACATTGGAGTAAAATAAAGTGGTTAAGCCTTCTCTTTACTTTTGCAAGTAGTATATGAAATTATAACTAATTATAACTTTTCCATCCATAAGACCAATATGCACAAGCTATATTAGTGTCTCCCATAACATTTCAGATTTTAGGGTTACGTCTATTGAACTATCAACATTATTAATATTAATTTGGAGTACCTAATAAAATTGAAAAATTAAAAAGCTAATTTGTTCACAACGAATGGTACACGATATTGCTGTATTCGTTAAAATTGTTTCAGACAGTGAATTTGCGAAGATATATGCCGAAGATGATGCAGACAAGGAAAAGGTAATTCATATTTAGTAGTTTATACTTACAGATGTAAAAGTAGCGCAACTCATATAATAGTGTATTTTATACACATACACATCGATACAATATAATTTATTAATATAATCATTGTACATTTTTGGCTCTTGGTTATGGTTCTTAAAAAAGATTTAGAAATGTTTTTTGTTTATTTACCTTACCTTTTATTAATTAAAGGCTGCCAGTAACGTTTATGTAAGCCAGTGTCCTACACTAAACAAACCTAATACTAACTTTTCACTAAAACTATAACCTAACTATTAAGGTTGCTTAAAATTAAAAAAAAAATGTGTATTAATAATTTTTTTTGTTATAAAATAACATACTAAAAAGTTTATTATTTTAAACAGTATTTACACATCATTATACGTTTAAAATGTATTTAATATTAGTCATTATGTGTTTTAAACCTTTTAGGCAAACCTTTTATAGTAGATAATATTTTAAAAAAATAGCGAAAAAACTGACAGCGCTAACTATAGATTAGTAACTATATTATACACTATTATATAGTGCATAGGTTATTATAATCTAATATAATAGTGTAAAATTCTTGAAACTTAAAAATATATTAATATAGGTATAAAACATAGAAAATAGTGTTTATTTAAATACTTCTAAATATTTTAAAATCATTTTAGAAAGAGGAAATTGTCGATAGGCGGTTGCGAATCCGCAAACGCCAATTAGGTATGTAATCATTGACTGATTTTTCATGGTAAGGTATATATTTAAACACAAATTTCAAAAAAACTATTGTTATACCTTATTTATATTGATTTTTGGTGCCTAATACAATTAAATATTATATCAAAATGAAAAACCGCACTTGTTCGCAACGACTGGAGCATGATTTAGTTATATTCATGAAAACTGTTTAACTGTATTTCGTATGTAATTAATTCAAACATTTTACAGGTATTCCGATAGCCGAAGATAACGCGGAGTTAATTGCCAAAGATAATAAAAACGAGAATGAGGTAATATTCAGTATTAGTATTTTATCCTAAGCAAATGTAAAAGTTCTTGAAACCGATTTTGAAATATTTTCGGTTTTATCCGACCACTTTTTTCATTAGAGATCTTTTATCAATTAAGGACTGACAGTAAGAGATCTTTAATCCATTTTGCTACAAATCAACCAAACCTAAGCATACCTATAACCTAACTAATGTTTGGATGCTCGAATAATTGTAAAAAATAATATACATCTTAACTTATTATATAATATATACAACTTTATAATTCTTTAAACAAATATTTAAAAAAATGGTTTTAGTATATTGCCGCAAAGAATAAACAACTCCTTGCATTAAAAACGTTAAAGGCAAAACCAAAAAGCAAGTGCTTCACGTTATCCTGCCTTTGTTCGATATAAGAATAAGGAGTGACCGGACACAAGTATCCACAGATTCATTTTTTATTTAAATAAATGTATAATTATATAGCTACATAATTTTTTGTATGTGATTTAATACATCTGAGACATGATGCTATTTCACCATCGCTTCTTTACACACCATTAAAAATAACTCATTATAATCCTAGACATAATACTAGTTTAAGACTGTTTAAGGAACTTCCTAATTAAAATTTAAAAAATATATGAATTGTATAATCTTAAAATTACTTGAAAAAATATGGTTATTAAATAATGAATAGAATGTATTAAAATTTAAAAAAAAGATACACGTTTCTTTTAAGTAATATTTTGGATTGTGTTATATTATATTTCGTTTGTTTAATATTATTGTTAATAAATAATTATATTCATATTATTATAATTATATTATTTCTTGATCCTTTACTTATAACTATAATGTTTACAAGGGTTCTGAATAGTTACTTAATGTATGTTTTAATAAACAAACCGGCGCTAAGTTCAGTTATCAAATAAAAGATAAACCTTAAAAATGAATATAATTTATAAAATTATTAAAATATAGAAATTCGTCAACTAGTCCTTATAGAATGTAATAAATCTATTAAATTATTGACAATTTTTAAAATAAAATGTATCTGATATAATAAAACTGACAATACTGCATAGTGGTTAATTAATTATAGCTACACTATAAGTTATACTATAAGTAATAAATTAATAATTTTTTATGTGTGTAAGCCCCGACACAATTGAGATATTATTATACACATAATATGCCAATTGATAAAACAAAATTGAAATTCTAATAGCTTAATTGAGTTTAGGTTTCTAAGAAAAGTTAATTAAGATTATGTTGATGTTAAGTTATGCCATTGAGAGACAAACATTGACAATTTGTTTCAGAAACGGTATTATTATACTTGAATATGGAATGCATAATTTGTACCAGAATGACCTTTTTAGATAATGGAGTTGATTGTTTATAATATATATTTATCCTTATAATACCAATGCTCAAAATGATATGATACCTACAGGTTAATATTTATTATTTACATTTCACGTTTTGTGATGTTTTCAACGTAGCTACTATTGTGAAAAACAACATTTTCGATACATAAATATATTATAACGATACCCGATGTAGAAAAAACCGTATTAAAAGTATGAGAAGATTAAAAAAAATTGTATACACAACATACTCATTTTGGTTCAACTGTGACCTTATTTTGATATTTGTACAAATTAAATAAGGGACATTATAATACAAACAAAACATATTATAATACGACCATACTACTCATCGCATTTTCGTAAAAAAAACCGTCGGATTTGGTAAAAAACATTTTGTTTTTGTTTGCCTTTAAGCATATTTTTTGGATTCTGTTCTTACATCAGTATCTACAAAATATGTTTAAAGGCAAACAAAAATAAAATGTGGTTTACCAAATCTAAACCGTTTTGCTGCGAAAATTTCCTACGTTATTCCCTTGTAAATGCACTTTGAAATTGGCGTTAAAACCAAAGCAGTCTTTAAATACTACATTCAATTTAAATATATTTTAAAATATTTTTGAATAAATTAAAAATGACTTTTACCCATACAAAACAATTTTTTGTTTTATGTTTAATTATTTGTTTTATTAAACAAATATATTCTACACCACTCACAGAGAAGGAGAAGGTAATCAATATTCAAGTTTTTTTTAAATGTATTATTTAAACGTATATTAAAAAGTGTAAATATACTTACAAATATAACATTTTTCATAGTTTAAAAAAAAAGTTATATGTTTAAATTTAGAATTAATTTTATGTCTAATTATTTTTTTTTAAAGATAGCGTTAGAACGGCACAATGATCTGAAATTAGTGGTAGGTAATCATTTTTATAAATGAATTTTGATTATAACAACATTAGTTATAATATCGAAATAAAATATTATTAAATTGTGCAAACATGAAGCAATGTTTTGTTTTTAAAATAACATTCTCTTTTACGTTATACTTAAATAAAACTCTTTCTGCGTATTCCAAAAAAATATTATTATAATAAATGTTAGTTGTACCTTTTTTTTACATTTTTAGTGATTATCTTATCAGAATTAATTTTGTGTTTAATAATTTGTTTTTAAGATCATAAGAGAACTGCAAAATGAAGAGGTAATTCATATTTAATATTTTATCTTAAATAGTTCTGACAGTAGCGCTATTTTGGGTTAAAAAAATTAAAATGTTGTAGTAGGACTAATATATGAGTTCTATACTAAATTTAAAAAATCACTTTATTAAAATAAATCATGATTATGGCAACAAAGGTTTTAATATCAAAATCAAATCACATTTAATTGTAAGAATATGAATCCATAAAAGTGTATTATTTTTTAGAAACATATATCGTTTTGTTGTTTTGCAAATAACATTTTCTTTTGCGTCATACTTTAGTAAACCTGTTTCTACATAGTCTGAATAACACCTGCTAAAAAACGTATACTGTACGTGATCGGTTATTTTTGCTTAAGTTACAAGTTTTAATATAAGATAACACATTTTCTTGCTAAACGATACCTATACGTATAATTGAATACAAATTAACTAAAATGGAATAGAGTACCTATTGAAGTATGTACAATGTACAATGTTCTTTGCCGGGAATTAGTTTGAATGTTTGAAAACATGAAAACATGTAAAAACACCGTGATCGTAGGACCTAGATTTAACGGCAATAAAAAATACAATTGTTCCCAAAACTCGTTGAGAGAGTAACACCCGATATATTTTTGTTTGTCTTAATAGTAAACACAACCGATATAGTTTTGCTCAGGGCCGGACTTAGAGGGGGGTGTGGGGGGTTTCATACCCACCCATTCGGAAAACTCAAGTATACACAGTCGGCACATTCGGAACAAAAAGTCGGTAAATATCATAACCCCCATAAAATTATACAAATAACATATTTATTATTTTTATTTTATAAAAGTCGGTTGGTACATAATTTTTATTGGAATCTGGGCACTGAATAGTAAATAGTCGGCGTACGGACGACCATACGAAAATATAATTTTAGTTTTCAGTATAAAAAAAAAAACAATGCATTTTCGGTAATTCCCGATTTTAGCAGAAGTATTATTATTTGTTTATAATAACTGTGGTGTATATTATATCAAACTATGTTCGGTCATGGGACCTATTGGTCTATTGCAAACAAACATTCTATCCCTCTATAAGTATATATTTTTATTTTTATCAATCCGATCGACTTTGTAAAGATATTACATTTCCTCCTATTTCTTAGGTTGTCCAAAAAAACAGTGGCCGTCGTTATCTCGGTTTAATTGCAGTTTCAACTTCAAACATTTTTAAAATAATGCTTTTAAAGTAGGGCTCAAACTGTTTTAGTATTGGTGACTGACATCTGAAAATTTAGTAATAGATAAATTTGTTAGCTGCCTAAAATATTTCTATGCTCCGAAAAACATTTTAAAAATCAAAAAAATCTAGTCACAATTCATAACAACATCACATCATTATTATTTTTCTTTTTATTCTTTTAAAAATGATAAAAAATGACCCTCATGATTTTAAACTCCACCAGAGATATTCCCGATGTAATTGATTTGGAAGAAATAACAAAGAAATAGTCCACATTAAAAAAAACACCGTAAAATAGTTTAACTTTTACTGGTTTTTTTACTTGTACTATCTAAATTTGTTTGAATAAATTAATACTTAAAAAAATAATAATTTAAAGTTAAAAAAATAATAATTTTCAACAATTATTAATTCCCATTAATTTTAGCAAAAAATTGCGACTTGTGGTACAAAATGTCATAAAATATTTTCGAAAGTGCCCAAATATTTTAGTCGGCAATTAAAATTTTAAAGTCGTCATCTTCATTTTGACACCCCCCCCCCCCCTTGCATAGTTCTTAGCACCGGCCCTGGTTTTGCTTATGCTACATTACAATTATGTAGGTCAAATGTACATTATGCTGAATTAGCATTATTGTTTTACAGCTCAATATTAAAAACAAAATATTAACTTAAATTTAGTTTAGTTTAGTTCAGTTCCGAATCCTTCAGAGCAGTTATAAAATAGTTTTAGGAAAATAATGTCTCTTATCGCTCCTATCAACCAAAGGAAAAAAAACCTTTAAAAAAAGTTGACATGGCTAGGATCTCGGAAACACATCTTACTCATAGAAATATCTTCAAGATATTTGGCTACGAAATACACAGAGCTGATCACCCTGAAGACTGCTAATGAAGGAGCTGCTCTACTTATTTCTATTAGGATATCTCATTCTTCTTTCTGCCTTATACCTCAAACAAGCTACACATTTTTGCCTCTCCCATCATTGTTATCTCAATTCCAATATCTCTCAATCAATACCCCCACAGAGAACACTGTCAATGAAAAAACAAACTCCTTAGCTATAAATAATAAATATGTTAATTAAATTAATCCCGAAATAAGACAACTCATCATAGAGAAATATCGTACTCACTATCCACATGATAGACATAAATACAATTCTCCTTGAAATAAATTCAAAAGACATCTCAAAAAATACAAGAATGACAACAGCTTTGCCGACTCTATTAAAGAAAAAGCCGAGTTGCTGGCTCAACATTTCACCAATTTTTTCAAACCCCACTCGATATTCCCGGACTCCTATCACCTAGATCATGTGAAATAATTTATCTCTTCTCCACTACCCTTCTCTACTTTTCTGCAAGACATACCACCCCTGAAGAAGTGTCATTAAAAAATTTAAAGACCAACAAATTACCAGGTCACGATCTCATTAGTAATTAAAAAGTTAAAAATCTGGCGCCTAAAACAATCATACTACTCACCTAAAATTACAATGTCATCTTTTAAAACGAGTTATTGTTCAATGTTTAATGGTTTGTTTTTTTAAAACAAGCACTTTCTACATTACAACGAAGCATGAGTTAATCAATATTTAAGTTATATTTTTTAATGTACTATACAATCGCATATGAAACTGTGTAACTAACCATAAAAAAAAATATATATTCCCATGTAAAAAGTTATTATGGATCTAAAAAAGTGTTAATTTTATGTTTAATAATTTGTTTTTAAGAAAGAGGACATTATGAAACTGCAAAAGGTAATCCATACTTATATATTTATCTTAAACAGATGTAAAAGTAGCGCAATTTACATAATACTACATTTCATTTGAAAACATATTCAATATTTATAAAAAAATATATTTGATTAAAATTAAAATAGATTTAAAACAAGTGTTAATTTATGTTTTATACTTTGTTTTTTTAAGGTCAATCCCGCTTTGTACGAGGAAATGGTACTCTATATTTATTATTTTATCGTTAACCTATGTAAAAGTAGTAAAAGTTAACTAAGAGATGCAAATCGATGCATATTTTAGGCTTTTGGTTGTAGTTTTTTGACCAGATGTAAAATATTTTTAGTGTTTTAACCAACTTATAAACTTTTTATTTTATTATATCAAATGTCAATAATGGTCATTTAAACTGGTTTTTTTTAATTTAAGTTTTTTACTAGTATTCCTATCTAATTGTGTACAAGCCTTTAAAATTAATACTCTACTAATATATAAGTATAAAAATATGTCATAAGAAAAGTGATTTTTTATGTAATTTTAGCTAAACGAAACAATAGACAGAGGAATGCGATTACTCTATCGCCAAGATGGTATTGTCCCAGAACCTTATGAACCTGGTAAGTAATAAGTTGAAACATAAATTACGGAAAACTGTGTTTTGTACCATATTAATAATGGTTTGAGATAGCTAATATTATTGAAAAACATTAAAATAAATAAGCGCACTTGATCACAACGAATGGTAAACGATTTTGCTGTATCCATTAAAATAGATTCAGCAGATAATATTGCGAAGTTAACAGATGATGCTTACAGGGCTAAGGTAATTTATATTTAATATTTTATCCTTAACACATGTAAAAGTAATGAACTCACATCATTATGTATTTTTTACACATATACATTGATAATATATAATATTATATAATCGATAAACATTTTTGACTTTAAATTTATACTAATATCAAAATTATAAATACAAAACACCGTTTATACCTTATAATAATAATTGAATTTTAAAAATGGCAATAATGCCATAAATTTTAAATCAAATAAATAATAAAGCACAAAAGTCAAAGGTTATTTTAAATAATAAGAATTATGTTTTAATACTGTTAATATGTTTTTAAGTTAAAAATGTATTTAATATAAGTCATTATGTGTTTTATACCTTTTAGACTAATATTTTATTTGGGTAAAACCTTTTAATTTAGATAATTGTTTAAAAAAAAATCGAAAAAATTAACAACGCTAACTATAGATTAATAACTATATTATACATAATTATATAGTTCATAAGTTATTAATTAGTATTATAATCTAACATAATATATTGTATAAGTCGTAAAACTTAAGACTATACTAATATAGGTATAAAACAAAGTAAATATGTTTTATTTAAATACTTCTAAATATTTAAATATTATTTTAGATAAAGGAAAATGTCGATAGGCGATTGCGAATCCGCCTACGCCAATCAGGTATGTAATCAATGATTGATTTCCAAGGTAAGGTTTATGTTTAAACACAAATTTCGAGCAAAAAACTATATTTTTACCATATTTATATCGATTTGTGAAACCTTATACAATAAAAAATATCAAATTTAAAACCGTACTTGTACACAATGACTGGAACATGATTTGGTTGAATTCATTAAAACTGTTTAACTGTACTTCGAAACTCATTCAAACATTTTACAGGTATTCCGATAGCTGGAGATAATGAGGAGTTAATTGCCGAAGATAATAAAAAAGAGAATGAGGTAATTCATAATCCGTTTTCATAATCGGTTATTAAATCCGTTTTACTACAAATCAAAATTATAACAGGGACTAATTTTTTACCAAATTTATACTTACTTATAACCTAACTAACATAATACTCGAATTATTGTATAAAATAGAAATGTATTTACATTATATAATATATACAACTTTTTATTTATTTATACAAATATAAAAAAAAAAAATGATTTTAGTATGTTGCCGCAAGGAATGAAAAACTCCTTGCATTAAATATCCTTCCGTTATTCCGGCTTGGTTCAAAAAATAAGGAGTGACCAGATACAAGCATACACTGACTCATTTTATTTTTAATTTAATATATACATCTAATATAGCTATACTAACTTTTTTATGTTTGTTAGTGTATCCGGGACCTGTTGTTATTTTACCATTGCTTCACTACAATTTACTAAAAATAATTATTTTTAATCCTAGATTTTTATAGCTATTAGATGCTGGTTTAAGACTGTATAAAACATCTTAATTGAAATTAAAAAGTATAAAATTTGTGTAACTTTTAAATTACTAATAAAGATATGGTTATTAAACAATGATTAAAATGTATTAGAATACAAAAAACAATATATCTTTTTCTTTTAAGCACTATTTTGGATTGTGTCATATATTTAATTTGCTTAATATTGTTGTTACTAATACTTTAAATTTTATTTTTTGATCCTTTTATTTATGTGTACGTGGGTTCTGATAAATACAATATGTGTGTTTACAATTTTTGCCTGTTTAGTGTTGTTTTAGATAATTTATACATTTATTTTTGTTTTTTTCTTTAGACACTCTCGTCTATCATTACAAAGATTTTATCCTTGATGATAGTTAATGCAGTGTAATTTTATAAGTTTTAAAATGACTGTAATTAACATTAAACTTGGCAAAAATAAAAAAATGCAACAATGTTTTATAATTTTACTAATGATGACACGTGCATTAATTTTTGACGTTTTTTTTGTTGAACCACTTTTTAATTTTTATCGAGAATCTTTATTTATTAACAAATTATATTATTGTATATTTTCAATAATTTTTGTTTATTAGGCCAAATCTAATATAATTCAGTTATTAACTATTGAAGTTTAATTTATTAAATCGTACGTAGTCACATTAAAAAGTGTAAAAATCTATTTATATTAAAGATACTTATTTTACACCTATTTTAAATAACTTTCAATTTCATCCTTAAGAAATGTTTGATTTTAATATTTCCTAGGGAAATATAAAGAATACATTATTCAGCGGAAATATCAAATAACGAAAAATACTAAAAATTTTTTTTTAAATGGTTTTTGAAACAGGGCATATCCATGAGTTTTTTTTTGTTTAGACTTACTGTCTGAGTGATGCCTGTTATAACGTTTATCTGTGTATGAAAATTGTGTTATATAAATATTCTATAACAGCGTTACGTTATGTGAACTCTTTAATTAAATTAACTAATAACGAATAATTTGATACTAATTGGGAGTTTACCTTTTTATTAGGCATATTGTTTGATTAAAGCTTTAGAGTTTTTCTAAATATTTACAAAAATCATTGATAACAACATTGTTTTTAATTATGGAAATAGTAATTGAGGTATGAATACTTGTGTCATAAATTAACAACAACAAAAATATTATTTTAAATGAAATTAAAATTAATTGAAATTTAATTTAGTATTTAGGTTGATAAGCCATTTGTTATTGGTTTTTAGACAGGAATTGAAAACGTTATCATGCTAAAATTTGCATTATTTATTAAAACAACAAAAATACGTTGATTAAAAGTAATATTTTTATGGTAATCTGGTAGCTTAATGGAAAGTCTTAAGGTTTAAAATACAATTAGGACATTTGTCATTTGTTCGCATTGCAACAGTCATTTTGGAAAAATACTACCTATATTTTATGTAAAAAATAAAAGTATGGTCGACTTGAGAAAAACCAAATGGAAAACACATGTTGATCACATGAAATTAGTATGCGAACAGCAATGAGTCCTGGATATTTTTCAGAGGTAGAATAACATTAATATGTCATAATAATATTATTATAAATCTATAATGAGAAAACATTTTTGTAACATTTGTCCTTCTAATGTCAATAATCAAAATTATATGATACATACAGGTTAATATTTCACATTTCATATTTTGTGACATTTACAAAAGTGTGAAAAAGTTAAAAACAAATTGTATACACATTTTAGAATACCATCTAAATTCAAATGTGACCTTATTTTGATTTTAGAACAAATTTATTAAGGGACATTATAATACAAACAAATTATTATAATAAGACCATATCTACTCAACGCATTCTCGTTGTATTTGGTAGAACACATTTTGTTTGTCTTTAATCTTATGTTTTTCTAGATTCTGTTCTTACTTCAGTATATACAAAATATGCTCAACAACAAACAAAAGTAAAATTTGTTTTACCAAACCTAACATTTTTGCACTTTGAAATTGGCGTTAAAAAAAATCAGTCTTTTAATAATACATTTGATTGAAATCATTTTTAAGGCTTATTTTAAAACTTTTGAATAATTCAGAAATTATAACTATGCAAGCAAAACCAGTTTTTATGTTATGTTTAATAATTTGTTTTTTAAAACTAACACTTTCTTTACAGCGACAGGAGGTAATCTAAATGTTATTTTTTTAATTGTACTAAAAATCGTATATTAAAAAGAGTAACCCTAATTAACTACTTACTACATTTTAATTGAAAACATTTTTAATTATAAAAAGAATGTATATGTTAAAAACTAAAATGGATTTAAATCAGAACTAATTTTATGTTTAATACTCTGTTTTTAAGGTGATAAACAAATTGACCAGGGAAGAGGTAATTCATACTTAATATTTTTTCCTTAACCGTTCTGACAGTAGCGCTATTTTGGGCTTAGAAAATTAAAATGATGTATAAGGACTATTATATGAGTACTATACCAATTTTTTTAAAAAAAAAAGCCAGTACAGTTGGGTCGGGCATAGTGGGGACGGAGAGGTCACAGGTCTACAGATTTTATTATAACTGAAAGTGATAAAATCACTTTTAAATAAACGCTTCGATGAGAATCTGTGGATAGTATGTTCAAACTAGTTATAGTGGTATAGAAGATATCGTGGGACCAACAATAATGTACTTAAAATTTAATATTTAGTCTTGTGCAAGGTGGATACGATAAGGGTTGATCGATTTGGAACATTTTCGACTATTTTTAAAAAAGTTATAGACCATCGTAATTTTAAGTTGAAAAATTTGTAAATTTTTGGGATGTTTTTCTAAATTTTGATAGGAGAGGGGTGACGTTTTTTAATTTTTGGCCTGTTAAAGTACCGTCCAGGTATGATTTCTGATCTATAGAGTAGCTACACGAAGAAATCAGTTCAGCGGTTTACGAGATATCGTGGGTCCAGACACAAAAAAAAAAAGATTAAATTAAAAATAAAAACACATCATTGTCAAAACAATACCTTCTCAGCTCCGCATCGAAGCTAAAATCAATCATTATTTATTTTTAAAAAATATGATTACGACGACAAAGGTTTTAATATCAAAATAAAATTACATTTAATTGTAAAAATATGAAACGATTTTCTAGCTCACGGGATTGTTTTTTTTTTTAGAAAAATGTATTGTTTGTTGTTTCATAAATAACATTGCCTTTGGCGTCATACAAATCTGTTTCTACATAGTCTGAATAACACTTGCCAAATAACGTATATTGTACGTGATCGGTTATTTTTGTTTAATTCACAAGTTTTAATATAAAATAACAAATTTTCTTGGTAAACGATACCTATATGTATAATTATATACAAATTTATTAAAATTGATTAGAGTACCTATTGAAGTATGTACAATGTACAATGTTCTTTACTACGAAATAGTTTGAATATTAGAAAACATTAAAAATATAAAAACACCGTGATCGTAGGACGTATATTAACGGCAATACAAAATCCCATAATTCTCAAAATTCTTTGAGAGAGGAACACTTAATATTCTTTTTGTTTGCCTTAATAGTAAACACAACCGATATATTTTGCTTATGCTACAATTAAAATTGTGTAGGGCAGATGTACATTATGCTGGATTAGCATTATAGTTTTATTAGCTCAAATAAAATAGCTTAAATAGCTCAATATTAAAAAAAATATATTATTATAGTACATACTACACTAAATTAAAATGTCGATTTCAATCCAATACTAATATTTTTTGTTTCTTAAGGAATTTACATCCAACAACCGATATAGACTCTATCAAATTGAACCACCCCATCCAAAAAGGGATACACCCCAACGTCTCCTCTGTCAGTCTTATGGCCACACTAAATATTGCAACCGAAACACCTCGCTAAGTCCGTTGTGGCGCAGAACACGAATCGTCACTTTGTCCCAGAGACCGCAATTCCTATTTAGCCTAGATCAAGTGAACCAATTTATCTTTTCTCCACTACCTACACTACATGGTCTAGCACACCGGCTAACTAAAAAAAATTATATATAAACGCATATGAAAAAGTATAACCGTAACTACATGACTACTACATTATAGTTAAAAACAATTTTTATATTAAATATATATATATATATACATGTTAAAAGTTATTATGGATTTAAAGAAGTGTTAATTTTATGTTTAATAATTTGTTTTTAAGACGGAGGACCTTGAGCAACTGAAAGAGGTAATCTCTATATTTAGAATTTTTATCTTAAACAGATGTAAAAGTTACACAACTTACATAATACTACATTTTGCTTGAAAAAATGTTTAATAAAGAAATATGTGTTCAAAATTGAGATGGATTTTGAAGAAGTAGTAATTGTATGTTGAATACTTTGATTTAAAGGTCAGCGATGCTTTGTTCACTAAAAAGGTAATCTATAATTAGTATTTGATCGTAAACATATGTAAATGTAGCAAAACTGACGTAAGATAGTACTGTTTTAACCGAGGGTTGCCAATTGATG